CGTACCCTATACCTTCCCGGCACCGCGGGCTGAGCGTGGACGTATTAGAGGTTTCGTCGAATGGGAATATGAACACCGTGGATGTGATCTTCCCGTTCTGGCCGCTCGTGCTGTACGCCAACCCAGCGCTGGGCAAGTACCTCCTCGAGCCGATCTTCAAGTACCAATCGACCGGTCTTTACCCGTTCGTGCATTTCCCCTTTCCACCACCACCTTCTCCCCGCCGCTCCTCCTCCCGCTGACGCTTGGAATTCGTAGGAACAAATACGCCGTACACGACCTAGGCGCGCACTACCCGAACGCAACGGGTCATAACGACGGGCAGGACGAACCGATGCCGCTTGAGGAGAGCGGGAATATGATCGTTATGGCGTTGAGTTATGCGCAGCGGACGGGGGATAAGAGTCAGATTCAACAATACGTACGTCTTTTCCACCTTGAGTTATCCCTCCCGATCCCTGTGCTGTTTCCCCGTCCCCTGCGCTGTCCTTCCCGTCCTCATCGCTGTCCTTCCCGTCCCTTGCGCGTCCTTCTCGTCCTTCCCGCGCTGTCCTTCTCATCCTTCCTGCGCTGTCATTCCCGTCCTCCCGCACGCGCTGACTGTTGCTGTTTATGTAGTCGGCACTACTCGCGCAGTGGACGCAGTTCCTGATCTCGAACGCACTGGTACCCGCGAGTCAAATCAGTACGGACGACTTTGCGGGCGCCTTGGGCAACCAGACGAACCTCGCTGTTAAGGGGATCATTGGCATTGCGTGCGTTCTTTCCCTTGTCCCTTTATTTGGGAACGTCGCTGACAAGACGGTGAAGGGCGATGGGCGAGATTATGAAGCTTAATGGCGATAGTGCGCGGGCGGATACGTATACTGTGCGTTTCTGCGCTCGCTTCTTGAGAAGAGAGGCTGATGAGTGCGCGGTTTTCTAGAGCTTTGCGAAGGACTACGTGACGCGGTTCCGTGCGCTCGCGACGTCGCGCGACAAGAGCCATTTGAAGCTCAGTGTGAGCACGCTCCGAGTCTGGTTGCTAGGTGGCAGCTCGTTGACGTTCTGGCAGTACGGCGACGACGCGTCTTGGGGGCTGGTGTATAACCTGTACGCCGACAAGTTGCTCGGCCTGAACCTCTTCCCGCAAGACCTATACGACACTCGTAAGTTACGGCTCCTTCTTCTATGTACCTTGCGAGATGTATTGTACCTGACGCCACGTGTGCTGCAGAAACGGCGTGGTACAAGACGAAGATGGATAACTTTGGCATCGCGCTCGATACGCGACACTCCTACACCAAGTCTGGTCCGTTTACATTCTTCCTCTCTCCCTCCCGTTGACCTGACGCCCGTTCCGCGTTCGTAGACTGGCAAATCTGGACCGCCGCAATTGCCGACGACGACCTGAAAGGCGCGCTTGTAGATGCGGTGTTGCGTTACGCGGGCACCTCGGACATCAACTCGGGCGCGCCGCTCAGCGACTGGTACGACGCGAAGAACGGTTCGACGGTCGGGTTTCGCGCGCGTCCTGTTGTGGGCGGGCATTTTGCTGTTCTGGGGCTGCAGAAGTACGTTAATGCCCTGGTGTTGGTCGGTGCTGACTGTGACGTAGGGACATGTCGCTCAGCGGCGACTCGAGCTCTGCAGGCGGCTCGACGACTGGCGGTACTGGCGGGTCTGGGACGGACGACGGTACCGACGGCGACGGTCTTGATCTGAACGGCGACGGCGCGGCCGCATCCTTGTCAGCGTCGAGAAACTTGGCAGCGGCGCTCGTACTGTGCGCTGTGGGCTCTTTGGTGTATCTGTGATTGGACTTTCTTCTCGATGGTGCGCGCTCGTTCTCCTTCCACTACGCTTGTGCCTTCCTTCATCGTTTCCCTTCCATCACTGTGCTGTGTCTTCGTCGCGCATTCATTTCGTACTTCGCAGGTAAACTAATGTGTAAATCATCTTCGACGCTTTTTATGACTATCGTGCTTCGCCCTTCCCCTCCGTCATGATTCTGTTGTGCAGTTCGGTGAGCTGGTGCGTCTGCTTCAGGTCCTCGGGCGCGACTGAGAAGCAACTTATAATTTGATTTCTTCGTAGTTCTACTTACAGAACGCCCTGCGTCTTTGCAGGCTATGCGAGGCTACGCCTAAGCTAGATACTAGAGATACAGCGGGTCACCGAATCAACAGGACGCGAGTCACAGTTCAAGTTGTACAAGTTTCGATCCAATAAGATATGTTGGAAGTCGCGGCACGGCATTCCGTGCATTAATATCCGAGTCCAAACCAATCAGGCCTTGGTGACTCGGCGGGATGGCAGTAGGTGTTCCATTCGACCAGACGTTCGTAGCCGTCGTTGCTGATAGCGTAGTTAGTTGAGGGTTCGAGCTCGTCGTAGGGCAGCGGGGTGCCGAAGTCGAGAAGGGCTGGGTCGAGGGCATCATCGCTGAGAGCTCCGCTGGTCTCCATAATTGCAGCCAGTGTGGGCTCGTCGTCAAGCATCGCCTGAGCGTCCTCGAATTCTGCTTGGTCACAAGCGTCGACCGGAACGTCGTCTGGACCGTCGTCGTACACGTGCGGGGTACTGGCAACGACGAAGTCTCCGTCTTCGCTCTCGTCTTCTGACTCGGGCTCGAACGAGACACGAAGCGCATTTGGCTCCCGGTCCTCGCTCTTCACTGAGGCCTTGCGATGGTAGCCATCGTAGTCGGGCGAGATGTCGGCAAGTCTCCGAAATGCGGACGGAGTCGTAGGCATGCTGGAGAATGCGCTGGGAGTGGTTGGCACGCTGGAGTACAGACCGGGAGTCGTCACGCGGGACGGGGAACTCGGTGACAGCGGCGGCGTCCGCTGTTCCTCCGACCCGGACTCGGACTCGACAATGATCTCCGTCTCAGGCAACTCAAGCGATTCTCCGGGCAAGGGCGTCAGCGGTTTAACGAGACTCTGTCTCACATGTCAGCTCCTCGGGATGCAGAACAACATGTCAAGTGGTGCGCACCTCGTCTAGAACCGTGGCCGCCCAGGCGTTGAAGGAACGTATGAGGTTGTTGCGGCGCATGCCTGCGCACCACAGCTCGAGGACCACGTTCGACCTTGCATCGAGGTCTCTGCCCGCGGCTCGATTTGCCGCTAGTCGGTTGGCTGTGACTCTATCGGCTCGGAGCTGGCGCTTTTCGAGGTCCTGTTCTGCGAGCTTCATGTTCTGCGCCCGCATCGCCGCGTAGTACCTCTCCTGGTACCGTTTGCGCAGTGCAGGCTTCTCCAACGCCCACATTCTGCCGAACAGACGGATTCGCTGGCGAGTGTTTGTCACGATCTTGCAAACTCCAGGATAGAGCTTTGGCGCTTCGTTCTTGTAGTGTAAGAAGGCGTTCGGTACACGAGTGGCCTTCGACGGATTGGGATGCGCCTTGCGCCTTTTTTTGGTGGACTTTCGAGGTCGAGCGAGCTTCTTCTTAGGCGGTGGGGAGCGGATTGCTGCTGATGGCGCATAGTCTAGTGTTGTGTCCGACTCGTAGCCTGAGTCGTCGGAGAAGAGTGCTCCGAGGTCGACAGCGGGCGGTGAAACTGGTGTGTCGGAGGATGCGGGTCGACCTCGAGTGGAGGGCTCTCTGGGCATAATAACGAACGTACAGTCGAAACGAGGGCCGAAGGATGAGAGCCAAGATGTGAACGGTCGGTCGCGGTCGGGTTGGGTCGGCTGCCTGGCGAGTGCAGCTTCCTGCTCCACGTCGCGCCGGGGGATCGAAGACGAATGTTGTACTCTAGACCTCATGTGTTCGCTTTATATGAATCTAAATCACCGGAACTGCTCCGGGCGCGGCTGGGAGAGGCAGTGAATACAGAAGATCGCCAGGCATATGAATCAGCGGACGCTGTCCTGCACATATCCATCTTGCCAAAGCCTACTGAAGCACGAGGTAATTGGGCGAGCAGACTGCTTCGCGGCAGACTGAGAATTCCGTCCAAACGATGTTCAAGGAATACACCGCACAAGAGAAACGGCCTCGAGTTCCCATTCACGGACGGTGACGTCCTCCGCGGACTTCCTACGCTCCGGCGCTTCAAGGGTCTGGCGCCCGAAGAAGTCTGATGACCTTGATCCTTCATTTCGGGTTCCTCGCTAACATCGACCTTCGCTTGAGACTGTTTTCTGTGTTGAATGTATATACCGTACATGGACGAATGACGACCAGAGCGGGCTGCGCTCCGACTCGAGCTTCGTCCGAATAGGCTGACGTTCAGAAGAGAGCCCATGGCTTCCGCAATGATTTACCTTACTCTTTGCCTGTTTAATGATCCGGTCTTGTGCTCAGGAGCTTCAAGCTGGCAGTGCTTAAGCGAGGATCATGGTGCGATGGCGACAGGCTTCTGGTCAGACGAGCACGAAACTCGCCGATGATCTCGGTCCTGTCACCGCCTTGAGCAACAAAGACCGCCGCGGGATTAGACATGCCTAGCCACCTACAGGAAAACTTTGGTTGTTCATCCCGGCTGAAGCGAGTCGGGCATCCGGTCGTCAGCCAGCCTGCGCCTTCTGTTTTTGTTCCCGCTGGCACACTTTGGCTCCGGCACCGAACACCGTGTCGCTCTCGGAACAATGGCGGCCTCAATTCAAAGTGGCGGCGGTTAGAATAGCCGGATCCTGTCCACGACGTGTTGCGAGAGGCTCTTTACACTGATGCACACTCGGATATGCGAACTGGCTGCGCCTTCCGTTCCGAGAATCCATGAGTAAGGAGCACCGGCAGGATACCTCAGAGGTGGATATACAGAAGTGAATCTGAGAAAAGTTTAGAGTAGATTGGAAGAGACATGGAGGGCATGGAGGGTGCATCTAAAGCTCCGCCTCGCACAAGAACGAGGGCACCCGCCAAACATGACCAAATGAAGATAATGGCGGAGTACGGAAAATGCCGAAAATCTGTGAGGAGGACCCGTTCGCGACGCCGGGAATGACTCAAAGCAAAGGACGGAACACATGGGAAAAGTACTGGGGCTAAGAAAGGCAAAAGGTAGTTCCCCCGCCGGGAGTCGAACCCGGGCCGATTGTGCTCCTGTCCGAAATCGGTAATTCCAATTTCTTTTGAAAGACAACTATCCTAGCCGTTGGACCACGAGGGAGTTATTCTGTGCATGTTTATGTCATTTATATGCCTTTTGAGAGCCTTCTGTCTCCTCAGAATGGCCCCAAACTCATGTACAGGCCCTGTGTATGCTGATGTTGTCTCAGCAGCTTGAATCTGTACGCTGAGTAACCTGTATGTTCAATTTTTAGTGATATCGGATGCTCCTATCGATATCATTAGCCCCTATGAACTTTTAAGCCGCCTTTCGTGTGGGATACGTCGGTTTTGACCAAGTCACACATCTGTCTCCACATCGGTTGCAGCCGCATCTTTCTCCCCCAACTGGCAGTGTCTAGCCCCATCTCCCAGCGCTCTGTCGTGCTTCATAGCCGGGTCTTCCGTGGGGTGCTCCAATACACCTACATCCATCCGCCTTGCGGTCTGTCTGGTTCATCACAAAGGTTGTGCAGTAGTACTGAACCTGGTCCCGCTTTCCAAAACTCCAACTCTGTGGGCAAGTTGCTTCGCTTACACTCCTTCTCACGCATTCATGCGTATCTCACGCTCGCAACACCACCGACAATACGACCACAATTAACACGCTTCCTGTTCTACCACTTTACAAGCGATGTGCACTCGTCTTCGATCTCTCGCATACTCCCGGACCGTTGCGGCTTGCCTGCAGGTTCACAAGCTCAGATACGGTTGTATTTCGTATTGTCACCCGACTCGATGCTCCGCAACCACGCTCCATTCTGCTCCCGCCAGAACCGCCCTGTGTGCGACGTAGACTGGTCCGGTTTCGACTCTCCCTTCGCGCAATATCCGTGGCGGGCGCTTGTACGCAACCTTACTCCCGGCTTTGTCTCGACGCAATTCTCGTTCACAGCTCAGTGTTGACTCGAGCCTGTAGCTGCGCATGAAGATGTTGAATTGACAAGTCCGAAAGCTACTTGGGCCTCGGAGAGACCAACCGCTGGTTAGCCTAGGAGTGCTAGATTCGCGTGGTTGATGAGCTGGGCAGGCTGCCGCAACTTTATAGGCGTATGTAGCTCTTGCCTAAATCCGACGCGGGCCCAGTTGACGGCAGCTCGGTCTGCTGTTACAAAGTTCTCGTCGCAGAGTTTCTCGATTCCAAATCGACCATGATATCGATATCCTTCTTAGTTATCTTCCTACGTCAAAGTCTGCAACGGAAACTACCTTCTTGGCAACTTTGACTGCGTGTTGACTAAGATGCACCGAGCTCGCCTGATCTGCGCGGTCATGTCTTCAATCGCAGATTCTGCCCGTGGAAGACGCATCGAGTGACGGGAGTAGAGCGCAGGCTCTCAGTATACATTTGACAACTAGACTCATGAGACGAAGTTCAACTCTAAGCTCAAGAAGACAGGCGCTACAAGGTAATCGGGTTCTATTTACAATCGAGAGAGAAAGCAGAATAAGCGTTAGGCCAGCAAAGAACAAAGAAGAAAGTCCGTAACTATCTCGTCCTCGGCCACTCCTCGTTCTCGCCCCAGTCAAGAACCTTGTCCCTAGAGTGGTATACGATTCGCGGAAAGATCAGGTCGAGTAGTTCGCGACGCGCATGCTCGACGAAGGTGACACCGAACATCTCGAGGCGGGCTCTCGCCTCTCGGGGGCGTTCCGACTGGCCGAGTGCATGTCCGATGGATGCTACTTGACGTGGGCTTATCTTCCGATCGAAATCTGGTGCTGTGAACGCGACCGCGTCGAGCAAGGGACACCGTACGAGATACAAGTTTGAAACCACTGTGGCTGAGCGGTCGTCGTCCTCAACATGCGAGTTGTCAATGTCAAACCAAAGCGGTTCGATACGGAGCCTGACGTCGTACCGCCGGGAATAGTCGAGTCGCACGCGGCGAAGCACCGGGAAATCGCACTTGTAGTTCAACAAAACACGGATAAGCCAGTACTCCAGTCGGATATCGACGACACGGAAAGCGAATATGCTGAAGTTCTCGAGGGTGCGCGAGTTCAATTTCTCGAAGCGGAATACGCGGCGATATCCATCACGCATCGCGCGAAATTCAAGTCCGGAATCTAAGCCTGGTTCCGTAATGTCCCTCATACGCATGGTGACGGCGCCAGGGATACTGTCCAGCAAGGTCTTTTGATCGTCCTGGCAGCCGTCGAAGCTTGTGTACGTTATCGCGGGGATGAGCGCCAAGTCAAGACTTCCGGTCATAGTAGCCATAGTAGCCAACAATCTGCAGCTCCACAGGTCTCCAATGTGAAGATGCTTCAGACTGATACCGCTGTAGTCAATAGAAGCGGGTGGCGCATGAGTGTACTCGGAGGCCTCGAATTCGATCTCCAGCTCGGCGATGCAAGGGAAGAGTCGCGAGATGCGTATGTCAGGACTATGGTAATCGTATCGCAGTGCGACACAGCGGACAGAACTGAACGCTGGAATGGGACCCTCGGTGAAAGAGATATTGCAGAAGGATACTCGTAGCAACTGCGGCGCAATTCCCGAAAAGATGTTCCGAGGCACAACGTGGGCACAGTGCTCGGGTTCGGCTTCGTGGTCTGAGTCGTCCTCCGAGCCGTACTTCGGATACGACGGTCGAGCAATCCGTGAAAGTTTCAAATGACGAAGAAGCGGAGCCGGTTGAAGGAGAACAGCCTGAAGCGCGTCACTGTGCTCGTCGGGAATTTCAACAGCAAGCCGGACAAGCATCGGCAGCGCCGCCCGGACGATGGGAAAGACTGAATCGCACATATAGTTGCGCAGCGTGGCCAGCGCACCGACAGGGTCGACGTCCTGACAGACTACAATCGTAGCGACGGGTAGTTGCTCCGGGATCGCATACTCGAGTATCGCATGAGCGTGGGCGACTTGTCGAGAGCAGATGTTCGTGAAGATATTACGGTGGGTAGCTTTGATGCGTATCGTGATACAGAAGCGACTATCGCGCGTGATGACGCCGCGAAACCGCCTCGACACGCTCGAGACGAGGAGCAGTTGTGACGCTGGCAAGTAGTCCACCACGTGATGCAAGAGCTCGTTTGGAATGCGCCGCGTGTGATCGAGTGAAGCGATATCGTCCTCGTGCGCGCCTGGATCAGGCGGGGCGACCATGAGCGTTCGTGCTGGAGGCGAAAGGGAAAGAAGGGCAAGTCCGGCGGCACGGGCCGAGCGAACAGATCCTCCGAAACCTTGAAACGTCAGTA